GTCTGTTGTGACAAGACTGCGCCAATCCCAGTGTCGCTCGCATCGGTGTCCAGGACAAACCGAGGGGCGTCTTCGGCCAGGTCTGGGAAGCACAGAATTGGAGCTGTTGTCAAATGGTGCCGTAGCTGTTCAAAAGCGGCTCCGCATTCGGTGGTCCATAGGAATTTTCTATTCTTCTCTGTCAATCGATGAAGAGGGGCGGCGATAGTTGCGTATCCCTCGATGAACCGCCGATAGTACGACGTCAGACCGAGAAACTGCCGTACTTCCGTTGGCGAGGAGGGCACTGGCCAGGCTTGGATGGTGGCCACCTTTTCGGGGTCGCTTCGAACACCTTCTTCGCTGATGAGGTGTCCTAGATATTTCACCTCTCGTAGTAGGATGCTGCACTTATCTGGTTTTAGACGGAGGCCTGCGTCCGCGATCACAGTCAAAACTTGGTTCAGGTTGTCGAGGTGTTCCTCGATCGTTCGACCATGTACGATCACGTCATCCAGGTAAACCAGACATTTAGCCGGGACTAGTTGATGTAATACTTTTCCCATTATCCTCTGGAATGTGGCGGGGGCGTTTGCTAGACCAAAAGGCATCGTCTGGAATTCATATATTCCCGATGGAATGCAAAATGCTGTCTTCTCACGATCGTCTGGATGCACCTCCACCTGCCAATAGCCGGAAGCCAAATCGAGGGTGCTGAAGTACTTAGCTCCCCCTAAAGCCTCCAATGTATCATCGATTCTGGGTAACGGGAAGCTGTCTTTCAGGGGCGCTTGATTTAGTTTCCGATAGTCTACGCAGAGGCGTAGCGCTCCGGACNCCCCCTGCCAATAGCCGGAAGCCAAATCGAGGGTGCTGAAGTACTTAGCTCCCCATAAAGCCTCCAATGCATCATCGATTCCGGGTAACGGGAAGCTGTCTTTCCGGGTTGCTTGATTTAGTTTTTGATAGTCTACGCAGAGGCGTAGCGCTCCGGACGTTTTCTTCACCAAGACAATGGGCGACGACCAAGGGGACTGCGATTGTTTGCTTACCCCTTCCGTCAGCATGGACTCAACGATCTTCGCCAGCTCTCTCCGATGTTGTATAGGCACCCGACGAGGGTGTTGTTTGATTGGAGAGTTGCCTTGGATGTCGATTCGGTGCTGTACGACCTGGGTTCTACCTAGTGGCACTCCATCCCATGCGAAAGCTTGTGTATTCTGGTGAACGACGGACTCCAGGTTCTTCGTCTGTCTTAGGGTTAATCCTAGACTGGAATTTCCCACCAGCCGTGACACCTGTCCCGGTAGATCCACTGGGGTCGAATCCTTCGTCCCTTCGAAAGCACAGACCTCTTCGGTACATAGAGATATTTCACGTGTCCCAAAAGACAGTTTGCTCCGCCTCAAATCTAGACAGCATTGGTGAGCGCGTAGGAAATCGATCCCCACAATCATATCCCGGGGCATTCCACCGGCTACCAGCATAGGATGCGTCACCTTAAAGCCAGCTATATGCACAGTTACGTCCATCGTACCTAAGGTTGGAAGATAGGTGCCATTGACTGTCCGAACCTGGCATTTGGGACTGCTACTCGGGGGCGATTTACAAAGCCGCGGAGTGATCACACGTGGCCCCTGTGTCGACTAGAGCACGCACCGCCTCTCCTTCTACAGATACCATAAGTGTTAACGGAGACTCATTGGTAATATTAGAAACACATGCCAGTGGTACAAACGGATGCGAGACTGCAGACTTACTTGCCACGGTCTCTGACTGGCCGGATCGGGGTCCCCGGGCGAACNGACGAAAAGACGGCCGAGTTGGCATTGGTCTTCGTCGCCATCGGTTTGGTACTTCTCTCCGGGGTTGGGTCTCGAGTCGGTCGCGAGTCACATTCGATGATGCACGGACCTCTTCTTGCATTGCCTGGCGTACTGCATCAGCCAGGTTCCTGGGGGTGTGTGATGCGACTTTTGCTTGGACTTGGGGGTTCCGCACGCCACTCAGGAATCTTTCGAAAGCAACCATCCTCTGCGATTCCATTGAATACTCCCGAAATGCTCTGGCGGTCAGGAGTCGAACCGCGGCAGCGTAACTGTCAGCCGGTTCACTGGTACTCTACACTCGGCTCTAGAATGTGCGCTTGAGCGTCGCTATATCGTGAGCCTCCGGGGAGAGTTCCTCCAGCGCTTCCCATACGTCTGCTACGCACAAGTCGTCGTTGATTCCTTCGGCGTCAAGGATCTCTTGAACTTCTTCGCTCAATCGGTACATGACGAACGGTGTATGTTCCGATTCCAGGATACCGGCCAAGAACCGGTTCGCCTTTCTCTTCCACAGACGTAGGTTCATTCCAACGTTGAACTGTGGCGGTGGGTCCAGAGCCGGTCGGTTGTATCTGCCTGGTATGCACGTGTCGAGCCGGGTGTGTAAACACGTCGAAGTGCTTTCGTCATCGGACTCCTTTCGGAAAGCGATTTTCTCGTTCGATCCAAGCCCCATCGCCAATTATGTAGAGGACAATCGAAAGTGGGTTCACAGAGGGTCGACGAGGCACTGAAACGGGAGTCGGAAAGTAGACTTCTTAGGTGGACTCAACGGACGGCACAGTCACCAGCTAAACCGCGGACACACACAAGGGAGAAGACGTACACCGAGGAGCAGCGTGTATATATTGGGGCGTAAAGCACTTAGGGTCATATATATTACAAGGGGGAATCGGGAGAGTCGTGTGAGTGTTCTGGGTGGTTTGGCATGTGAGTGTCTGCTCCTGGAACCTCAGTAGTTGAGAGGTTGACATCTGGAAAAGGAATGTACAAGAGGAGATAGAGTTATATACGTGAAACGGAGTATGGTACACATCATTCGGACACTAGCGTACTGTTGCCAGTATATCACCCCCTCCTCCGGGTGAACAGGTGCTGTCCCTAGCACTTCTAATGGCTTCGTCTTGGTCGGCTGTCGTAACTTCCACCTCGGCGCCTACTTCGGGTACACACCGGTTGTCTCGTGGTAAGCGGGTACTCTCCAACGCCCTGGTTGCTGGTTTCAATCTAGTAAAATGCACCGTCATCGGGGGTGTGTTGGGTCCATCGGATGGCACTAACCTGCAGGTGGCTTCTGAGAGAACCTCTTGTACCACGTACGGCCCCGCCCATTCTTTATGTAGCTTTGCTGGTCGGCCTGTTGGAGGAATGGGTTGATGGAAGAACACTAATTCTCCCGGTTGCACTGGATGTTCTGAAACTTTGTGATCGTAATATTCCTTCTGATGACGATGAGCACTTGCCAATTCGTGTGACCGCCCGGGGTGATGCCGCAGCTTCCAGGCGAACTCCGTTGCAAGTAGCGGGTCTGGAGACGTCACGGGGAGAGTTAGATCTGTCGGCAGCCGGAGTTCTCGACCAGTGAGCATTGCGTGCGGAGTGTGCTGAATGGAGGTGTGGACTTTAGCTCGGTAAGCGAGTAGACAATGGTCCAACGCTCGGTCCCAGTCTCTCGTGGAGCATTCGTCAGTAAAAGCCTTCAGTAACTCTTTTAATGAACGGTTGGTACGCTCGGTCTGCCCATTGCCCTGGGGGTGGTACGCTGTGGTTCTGGACTTGGAGATTCCACATAGCTGGCAGAGTTCTGCGATCACTTGATTTTCGAAACTGGATCCTCGGTCGGAATGCAGCTGTAGTGGGGCACCCCAACGTGATATCCATTGCTCAAAAATGGCTTGTGCGATTGAGACAGCATCTATGGACGTCAACGCGACGGCTTCACACCACTTCGAGAAGTAATCGACGATGACCAGTATGTAGCGGTTTCCCCGGGGTGTAGCCGGGAGTGGACCAACAACGTCAACTTCTATCATCTGGCCAGGAAAACCACACTGAATTGGCTGCAATGCTGCTCGGTTGTAGGCTCGGGGTGGTTTTGCTCGGAGGCAGTCTTCGCAACGATTGCAGAAATTTAT